CTCTCTCTCTCTCTCTCTCTAAGCCGAAAATTAAATTTAATTAGCGCGATTGTTCCCGCGATTGGAATCTCGCTACGAAGCTAGCTACAAAGCAACGTACCTGGGGATAGGCGTCCTCCTGGTAGGGGGTCCTGCGATGACACTCGTCGTAGCACCTGCCATCGTATCCGCTGGGCGGGCGTGGGTACGGGTCCTGGACCGCGGCTGCGGCCGCGCAGCAGTCGGGTATCTGCGCCTGGTAGGTCTCGTACGGGCACTTGTCAGGTTGGCCGGCGGCTCGAGGCGCCTGGTGCACCCTCTCCTGGGGACCGGTCCCGTAACCGGTTCCGCCGGAGTGATGCATCGTACCTCCCGTCCTACTTCACTACTCCACCACCACGGATACCGCGATCACTGCATCACTGTCGAGGGGACGACCGAGGCCGCGCACCACGTCTTCGCTGGCCGCCGCGGGCCCATCATCGTCCTCGCTTTTCACCCTCGCCGCACCGCACCATCCCCGCCCGGCCCAGAATCTAGCCAGGGCCTAACGTCGTGCCCCTGGATGGATGTGATGGACGGGGGTGAGACAGGGCAGAACTGTCTCACCCCCGTCTGGTCACCTGTCTCGGTTGTCGTGGACAGGAGAGGGGAATTTTGGAGGGGGAGAATATAGTGTAACAGCACTATTTTTTGAACGGTGATTCAACCGTTCAGATCACGCGAAGAACAAGTGTGACAACCGAGATGAGGTTCGATATTTTTGGAGAGAAGAAAGTGAAGATTGGATAAGGATTTTGAAGTAGATCTACACGTATGTATAGATATATGTATAGTTTCGTTTTGAAAATAGAAGAGGCTTTTTTTGTAACGTCGCCTACAAGAAGAAGAGAAGAAGAAGAAGAGGTACAAAATTGGACGGCGAATCTATGATAATTGCTCGTTGTTGAATTGAAAAGGGTAGTTTGTTGTGAAATAAATGAGAATAAGGAAAACAAATGATGAAGAGGAGAAAGATGTTCTATGATCTTCGATTGATTTTAGCGTAGATCGTATAAGAATTGGGAAAGTTTAACAGGATGTAGGGATAGGAAGTTTTGAAGTTCGTAAAAGGGGAAGACTTGGCGCTTCTTTGGATCCTGGATTTTCTTACTTTTTGTCAAGTTCGATAAGTCGAGATTATGCTTTCGACTGATTTCGCGAGTCGAAGGAATTTGTCGTGGAAATTGCGACGATAAATCGGCAACTTTTCTTATTTTTCGTTTCAAATTTAATATTTGGAAATTTGTCAATTCTTTTTAGATTAGAAAGAAGACGACTCAAATCTTCTTCTTTCTTTCTTTGCTCTCACGGAAAAAAAATCGTGCAGCCAATTAAAAGAGGACTTCTCTATTTTCATGCCAATCAAAAAAAAAAATGTCAATCGATTATTATACGAGAGATAATCATTTTTCTATACATCCGCAAGAGAAGAAAATATTCTTCATCATTCCACAGATATCCAAATATCGTCGGATACGGGAAGAAAACAAATAGATTCGAGGAAAATCTTTCCAATTATAGGCTCGTATAATGCGAAAGTATCGGTTTTCACCGAATTGGGTACGATCGTGCGATTCCAATTTACCACAGGTTATTCCTCGCACGAGGCCATTATTTTCTTACACACAGAATGTTCTGGAAACTGTACTCTCTTCCACCCCTCCCTATCTCGAATCTGAAAAACGTCTCGGTGAAGTGATATCGATGGATAAAAGGTTGATTCGTTCAATGGAACGATTTCCTGGCGCCTACAGATACTACAGAAAAAGATATCCGCGCGATAACGCGAAGAAGAAGAAAAAAAAAAAAAGAAAGAAAGAAAAAGGAAAAGGATCCCGATTTCGAACACAACCAGCTACTCGAGAAATTCATTGCTCTCGAGGCAATTATCGTGGCCGATGTCGTGCCTCGAATGCCGCTTTAAAATTTCAATCCATCTTTAATTACGGGGAGATTCTCGTGTCTCGTTTCACAGGAGCTCTGCTGTTTCGCCACGAAAATCCGACAAGGAAAGGTACTTAAGGGGAAAATACGTGTGTTCAACGTGAGCGTGATATTTTCCACGGAACAATATGTTTCATTTAAATCTCTATCGATTTCGAATTTTCCTCCCGTTTTCCCGGGGCAAAATTAATCCATTTTTACATTTAATTCTTCCGCTCGAAGTTTCAATATAACAGAAATATAAATCATCTTATTTTCCTCTCAATAAAAGTCAAACAAACGAATTGTAACAATTCTCGTTGGAATAATTTACTTAATGATGTAATTGGAAAAGTAAAAATCTCTAAAAATGTCCAGGCCCGATCACACACGCACAATCAAAGCCAATTTCCTAAAGAACAACATCATTATCCTTTTTCGCTATTACCCAGCCCGATCGTCGTGAAACTTTCGAAAAAGGAAACCCTCGTGGAATAGAAAGTATCCACTCTTGGAAAGAGGAAAGAAATCGACGACGTGCAGGATGGTATAGAAAGTAGAATTGATGGGATAAAGGCACGTACACCGGAAGTAGAGCTCCAAGCAGCTCCGCTTGTGTGGAAACGCGAGAACTGGTTTGAAACAAAAGGGTCTGAACAGGGGAATTCGTGGTCGAATTGGGGTCAGAAACGACCCCAGGTAGATAGACGTGGACAATGCACGTGTGTGTACGCGTGTCTAGCCAGAGAGAGAGAGAGAGAGAGAGAGAGAGAGAGAGAAGGGAAGCGTGCAGAGATTTCGCTTCCTTCCTTCGATGTTCGAAGATTGATGATTCGATTGATGAGGATCGATCGTCTGGCACAATTCGAGATGAACTTTTATACGCGGCCAATATATTTTTTAAACACTGTGGACGTTATTTTATTTTTGGTTAATGCAAATAATAATTCTTAATTGATATTATTCGAAATATAAATTATTTTAACACATTTATTTAATTTGTGTTTCTGGATGGGATTTTTTAATTTAATCTAATTCCTCGAGGGCCTGGTTTTTTTAAAAAGATTTATCGGATCGGCGAAATCATCGTGGCAATTTATAGCAAAAAGTTTAAATCGCGTATGTTCCTTTATCTGTTTCGGGGAAGAGTGGGTTTCCAAGTTAGGGATATCGATTTCAAACTGAAAGTTTTAGGGCACGTAGCAGGATTCTTCCGCTTTACAAATCACGTATACGTGTATAAGGGCAAATACTGGAAACTTTTTGAATTATTCGTTCTCAAAGTTCAGAGAATTCTTCGTGACTCAAATACAAGTCGCTTGATTAAATTAGTAAAATCAATTTGTGTTTCAGAATAAGATCTCGATATTTCCGACATCATCGAATTGTATCAAAGATGAATTGTCATGAACATAAAATTCTAAACTCAAAATTGTTCGCCTAAGGAGAAATCTATCCTCGAAGCATCGTTTCGAAACTGCAACGAGGTTCATATTGCTCACAATTTTAATTAAACCTGCCTAAAGCGTTCACAAAGAGGCAACCTGCAACCCTGTTAAATCCATAATTCCGAGAGACGGTCTACCCCTCCCTTCTCCCCTACTCCCTCTTTGCCGTTGCTCCTCCTTGATCAGAAGGCTTGCCACGAAGGAAAAAGCTCTTCCTTGCTTTCAGCGATCAGAAAGTTCGAATGTAGAGAAATGTAAGAAACAAGAAGAGGAAGAAAGACGGTACGAAAGTGCGAGCAAGACGAAGAGGAGAAATATGAGAGAGAGAGAGAGAGGTGGAGGTAAGAACCTCGTCGGTATGATTTCCTTGGCGTTACCATCCTGTTTTATTCATCACCATAGTCATCGGGATAAGATAGGATTGGTCAGTTTCAGTCCCTTGGTAGCTTATACCGTGGACACTCGATGAACTCGAAGGAAATCTTGTTTTCGTTTCATTATACTCTGTGTGTGTGTGTGTGCACACCGTCGAAAACGAATTTTCTTGGAGACAGTCGAGTCTCGTCTCCTTCCCACTGGATTCGTGTTTCATTTCATATCCTCGTGTTAATTGTAAACCGTGGTCTCGTTTTTATATAATTTTATATTAAAATTACTAAAAAAAAAAAAAAAAAAAATGAATTATAAGATTTAAATTAATAACTTTAATTATTATTTTATAATTTATAATTTAGCATTGGATAGTTTTTTCTAATTTATATTCCTTTTATTTTATTTTAATTCTTTATAGAATTTAATTTATATAATTTGATTAATTAAATGTCATTAATTTCGGTAAATTATTATCTATCGTTAAACCATATTTTTAATTTTCCAGATAAATATAATAAATTTAATTTTAAACGAGAGTGGATGAATACAATTATTGAAATTTCTCTCCGTGAAAATATTTTTTCAAACTGTTTATTTTTCTCAGGGAAATTCTTTTTCGCCGAGTAATTTTCATTAAAAAGTGTTTCTATCCGAATAATTTATCCTTAGAGAAATTTTCCCTGGCAAAGTAGTTTTTTTACACGAAGATGTAAGTAATAAATAAACAATACCTCGTTAGTCTTATTTTGATCCAAAATGCAAATTAAATAACAAATGTAAAGAGATAAAACTGAGGTAATTAAGAGGTGCAAAATTGTGCTTCTCAATTCGTCTAAAATAATGGTACCTCTTCCGAGTTCAATTTTCCTTGATTTTCATAATTTTCATTTGAATTTATTCGTACACTTCTCGAAGATTTTATCCGATTACGTTTAATTATAACGGTAATTGTATTTACTTCCTCATTTCCTTTTCATCGAATTACGCAAGTTTTCAATTTTCAAAATATTTCTCCATTTAAGAGTTACTTGAAATTAAGATCTTATTCCATTCTATAGAGTTCATTCTCGCTATGTTCATTTGCAAAATATCTACTTCAATTGGTGTAGGAACAAATTATGAGTAAAGGAACGTACGTTTATTAAAGAAACATTAATTTCCATCCAAATATTATTCAGAAATATAATTTCTAAAGTATCTTTTCTCGTTTCCAATTATCGTTATCCATTTTCCTCTTCGCTAACAAAACTTTTGTTCTAATATATTTCGACAATTGATCCTTCGTAGAGGAACATTAATCAATTGTTTGTTGAAAAATATTATCCATCTTTCTAATATTATTCTATCAATTTCTATCTTTTCAACTTTTGTAACTCTCATTTTATCTGAAACTTGATAAAAGAACATTTATTACTCGCAGTATCAATTTCGTGAAACACGAAAATTTTCAAAATTCCATCCAGGATATATTTATTTATCGAGCACTTGTACTTTTGATAAGAAAATACCTTTCATTCTCATTCTATTATTTTAAAACCATCCATTTTAATAAATCATCTATTTGTTGCAAAACATTTTTCCAAATTCCTTTGAATTTTTCTACGCTCCTTTTTGAAAAGCTTTCACCTTCAGTTTCAATTTATTCAATTCATCCT